GAGAGAGAGAGAGAGAGAGAGAGAGAGAGAGAGAGAGAGAGAGAGAGAGAGAGAGAGAGAGAGAATGAATAGGCATAGTAGTATGAGGGGAATACACTGGAAGGAATACGCCTGGTAGACATAGCCACAATCATTTAGAGTCCCTAGGGACCCAACTCTTTCCTGCTTCATTTACAAAGCCAACATCTATAAACAACCCTCAGTCCAGTTTTCATAGCAGATGAGCTGCTGTTACTTATATAGTCTCTGTATGTTATTGCATTTGATGATTTCTTCTCCTTATATTAGTTTGCTAGGGTGACTATAATAAAATACCACAGACTAGGTGGCTTTAACATCAGACATTTCTGGGTACCAGAAGTCCAAAATCAGGGTGTTGGCAAGGTTGGTTTCCTCCTGAGGACTATCTCCCTAGCTTGCAGATGGCTGCTGTCTCACTGTGTCCTCAGATGGCCTTTTCCCTGTGGGTGTGTGCCCCTAGTATGCATGTGCATTCCAATTTCCACCTTTTATAAGGACATCAGTCAGATGGGATTAGGGCCTACCCTCATGGCCTCCTTTTAACTTAATCACCTGTTTAAAGGCCCTATCTCCTAATACAATCCCATTCTGAAGTACTAGGGGTTAAGGCTTCAATCTATGTATTTCGGGGGGAAACACAATTCAGCCCATAATGTATCTTAAACACCCTTCTTAACCTTAAGAAGTTTTGGCTTGGGACAGCTGAGGGGCTCAGTTGGTTAAGAGCTTGCTCAAGGGTTTGAGCTCTGAGCAACAGTGGTTCGAGTCCCGGCCTGAGCTGAGCAGCTGCTCAGATGCCAACAGGTGGCAGGATGGCTCAGCTAAAAAAAAATAAATAAAAAAAAAGAAGTTTTGGCTTTGCTAGGTAACAGGTGCAGAAGTTATATCCCAAGCGCATCAAGAATCACGGAGGTGTGGTATGGGGTTAAACCCTGGCTCTGCAGTTTCGATGGCATGCAGGTCATTTCTGCATCTTTATTTCCCTATCTGTAGTAAAGGATTAATAATATTTACTTCGTAGGATTACTGTAAGAATAAAAGTATACGAAACCCTTAAAATAAGTAAACAAAAGTTACTTATTTTAGTTTGTTTACTAAAAGTAACAAACTGGACAGTGGACGAGCAATCAGTGGGGTAGGCCATTGAACAAAGGACTTTTCATTTATTCACTCTCATTTTTTCCAAAGCCATCTTGTGTTGCCATCATCTGTTTACCTTGTGAGTATAAAAGCTCACTCTGTCACCAGTTTATTTTATCTCCAAGTTCCACGTGCATATTACATTAGTAGTGTAATGGGGGCAAAAAGCAATATTTCTTCCTTCTCGAACAACATAAATTATTCCTGGCCAGTGGTTGTTTTCTAAGGCTTTCTTTCTTAAAGGATGTAATTTTTCACCAAAATTGAATAAGGTATGTCTGTTGTATCAGACTGTGCTTTTCCTACTGTGTCATTGGAAATTCTGGGATTCTGGGATATTAATTTTGGAGTTTCTCCGATCTGACTTTCCCTCACCACCATTATCACCTGACCCCTCATTTCCCCTGCAACAGGGACATGTCTGTATCCAATTCAAAATACATACACGCAGATATACAAATTCACTCTTCTCCCGTTGATTAGGGCTCATGCGTATGACAAGAAGGGGTTGGTTTCTAGCTTTTCAACTGCCATGGGTTGAGAGCACCCACTCTTTTTGCCCTGAGCATTTGAACTAATTGCTTCCTTCTCTCCCCCTGCACAGCAACCCTGAAATCATGTCTCCAATTATTTCTGCTCAGAGGTGAAACATAGCAGTCTTCCTGGCTGCTTACACAGTGCAGTGTCCTGTGTGGAGGGCAAGGAGGAAGCGACTTGCTTTTTCTAGTGAGTGATTTTTCTCTGAGTGGATGGAACCAGCGGTAAGACTACCGAGATACATCTCATAGAAGCATTTCGTTGTAGTACTGAACACATCCTATCTATACTGTACTGTCATTTTTAATGTTTACTATTGAAAGATAATCAAATGCCCAAATCAGGTGTTCTCTACAGAAAGAAGAATTTTTAGAAAGTTGTTGGCCTTTTTTGAATAAATGCCTTCCTGTATTTCCTTTGTTAGCAGCATCTTCAGTTTCTTCATAAGATGTTAAATTTCATGGGTCACTGTATAGTATACACACACACTCTCACTGTATTACTTTACAGATTGCTTCTCAAACCTGCTTGAATTGTTGACATTAGTGGCTTTACAGAAATCTTGAGAAAAGATGTTTTAAAAAATTAAAGAGAGGGGGTGATTAATTCATCATACTATAACACCTGGGTTTTGAAATTACTCACTGGGCCCTGGTGCTATTCACAGATTACTTCCTTGAAATCTTTAGCACCATTCACTTAAGGGAGGTTGGGGGAACCAAAAAAAAAAACCTGGTTCCTGAAATATAAATAGATATTTCCTACTGAATTAATAAAGGATTTCCTGCCCTTTCCCCCATTAATGAATTTAAGCTCTTTTACTTTGATAATAGTGAGCAGGGCTTTATTGTATTTAACTTTATGTAAAACAAGCTTTTCTTTTAATATAGAATATCCTTGCCTGTAGTATATAATAACTTAGTTGGCATGCCAGAAATAGCCCAGAGTTTCTAATTTTGTCACATTTCTGTTTCAAGTTCTTGGACAAAGGACTTTAGCCTACTGCCACTTGATTCACTTAACAACTGTAGTTTTTTCCCTCCTTTCCTTTGAATTGTCTTTTATATGCTTTTCCTTGAATCACCTAAAATGATCAGAGTGAGTCTTGAAAAAGATTTTTAAAAATAAAAAAACGTATCCCGCAAGTTTTAATTCTTCTTGGTTCAAAAGTGCCAAAGTAAGATATCAGGACAAGAGCAATAATGGGCTTCTTTTCTGGTGACATAAATGTGAGTGTTGGTAGAAATTCCATTGGATGTGTTTAACCCTTTCCAATGGGACTTAGCTGCCTTTGTGGAAAATGGGAGACATGGCATAAAGGTTAAGAACTACAGTCCCAAACTAATTTTATTTATTATTTGCAAATTATTTTTCATGTCCATAGTCTAGATAAAGACTTTATTTCTAAACTGTTAAATTAATATAAGTAAAGTAGTAAAAATTTTTAAAAAGTCAGCTATTTCCCAAATGATTTTAGGAAATATTTAATGATCTAAGACAACAGAAATTTAAAAAAAAATCATGATGGGGTATATTTTTGATAAAACAGGTGGGCAGATTTTAAAAAGGTAATTTTTTTCCTTTACTAGGTCAGTCATATTTACTTTGGGCAAAGTCCATTTGTTACAATTACCTTAAGAAACACCCCAGTGTTTCTTGATATGTCTGGTAACCATTTGGCAAAGATATGAGGTTTGATGAATAACAAATATATTACATAGTCTAATGAACCCCACAACAGCTTTCTCAGTACAAATTATTTTCTTTGTAGAAGACTTTCACTTCAGACCAGTAGGATGTGCCATTCCAACAAGCTGCGTGAAGCTAGAGTTTTCATTCACTTTTTTTTTTTTTAAAGATTTTTATTGGGGAATTAGGGGGATAGGAACAGTGCTGGGGAATTGGGGGAAGGGGAACAGACAAGTTGCTGTCGTTTTGTTCTTCAATCTAGTTGTGGAGGATGTCGCTTCACTGGCCCAAGTTGGCACCATCATCGCGCTCTTCTCTGGTGAGGCAGATCAGTCGCCGGCTTCTGGACGGCCGCTCACTGCGGCTGCTGGCCGCTCACGCTGGCTGCTGGCTACACACAGTAGCCCATGGCAACCCACTGACACAGGGGCTGCAGCCTACGCCGTCGCCGGCGACTCCCGGCAGCCCAGCTCCAGGTTGAGCTGTTGTTCAGCATCTTAGCTGTGGAGGGCAGTGTCACTGGCCCTCATATGTGGGATCCGAACCGG